CTTCCTTCCGAGGAGTGGCTGGTGGGTTTGAACCGCCAGCCTCCTGGTTAGCAGTCAAGTGCCTTAGGCACTATGCTACCAGAGCTCCTGAGAAAATGGAAATGCATTTGACTGAATTGAAACATGCAAACGTTGACCACATGAATGTCCCGGACTTGCCCTGCTTAAGGTGGCAGTGTGGCTTGGATGTCCACCCTTAAAGGTGCTCTGGTTGGCAAAGACCCTGTTGCCATCGAGTTGGCTCTGAGTCATCACACCCCCATGAGCGTCAGGGTGGAACATGGTGCCACACAGTTTTCAGTGGCTTATTTGGAAGAAGGTCACCAGGCTTTCTTTCCAGGCCCTTCTGGGTGGACCCCCGACCTTTCCATTAGCAGCTGAGCATGTTAATGCTTTCACCACCAGGGAGTCCCCTCCTGAATACAGAGACATAAAACACTAGTGTCGCAGAACAGAGGGCCAGGGTCTCCCCTAGCCTGTCCAGCACCCATGACTTGTCAGCACTTTTCCAAGATGTCCTGCTGACCCACTAACTCTTCCCTGGACTCAGATCAGAAGCAGACCCTTGGCCGCCAAGTTGACTCCACTGCATAGAGATCCCACATGTGTCAGAGTGGAACTGTGCTCCACAGGGGTTCTTATGGATGTTTTTTTTGGAAATAGATCACCAGAGTGGACTTGAACCTTCACCCTTTCGGTGAGCAGCCCAATGTGTTAGTCATCTGCACTACCTGGGGCTCCCTCACCCATTAGGACTGTCCTGGCTTCAGGGACTCCTTCCGTTTCAGAACTCTGAAGGTGCAACTGAACTTTGCCGGCTTTCTTGAGTAAGCCCTTCACTCTGGCAAGCTGGTAGGACGGGCTTGCTCCCTCACCACATATCAAGCCGTTTATGATCTTGGGCCAGAGGAGGGCTGACCTCTTGTGACAGTGCCATCAGTGACAGTCAGGGTCCTCTCCTTTGGTGGATCCATTCCACCCAGTATTACACACCTGTCTTCTGTCCAAGAGGAAAATAACATATTTTTTTCTCTTACAGAAGCTATGATTTTACAACTGAAAAAAAAAAAGTAGCTTAGAATGAACTGAGACTTTTGGGGTACATAAAGAACTGTAGACCCCACCCCTATTGTCTTTGCCTTGATTAAGACTTATGCAAACATACTTCCCAATGATGTACCGGTTGTACGCTATCGTAAACTCCTCTAGATGTCACTATATCTAGATGTTTCTAAGAACAAATAGCACTCATTAAATAAGAAGGCGTCCTGATATCTGTGATACAGTCATGTTGCTGAATTTAAAATGATGGCTTCAGCGTGGCAGCACCCCATGTGATTGATCTTACTTTAGAATAGTAGATGAACTTCCTGTCTCATCTGTGCATGACTGCTATAAAGGAAAGGAAAACATAGCTTGTGTGTGAATCAAAACTAATGGAGTGAACGTAGCCTGTGCAGTGTGTTCTGGGAGGAAAGATGGGATGTTAGCAAAAATCATTGGAAGCTTTGGAGTTTACATTAAGTCTCGAGGCTGCAGTGGCTGTTTGAAAGCTTGCCCATGCACACGTGTTTCAGCCCATAACTCAGCTGTTAAATGCACCCAGAACCTGCACATTAGAAAGGGACTGTCCTCTAGAGACGACACTGACAGCCAGCTCTCAGTCGTAGGTCCCTGGTCCTCAGATGCCGGTGGAAACTGCGTAATCACTGTGGGGTTTTACCTTGGCCTGAGAACGTCTTCTGGGAGTACTGGCTCTTCTGTCCCACAGTGGGAGTGATGGGAGTGGGTGAGAATATGTGTGTATTCACTCTCACACACAGGCACATATGTGCAAGAGTGTGCCTGTGTGAGAGAGTGTGCATGTGCACGTGTGTGTTTGTGTGCACACATGTGTTTGGGGAGTGTACATAGAGGCCATTGTGTTGTTCTTCTCCACGACCCCAAGTGTGGAAGCCAAAGGAGAACTCTTAGGAGGCCTAGGTGCCTTCTCCTGCCCCCAAAGCAGCACCAGACAGCCTGCTCAGGGAACTACTGCCTGTGGCTCCTCCCCCCAGGACCAGCAAGAGTGGAGGGACACCTGTCACCACAGTCAGCTGCCTTCTCTGCGTTCCTCGGGCTGCGTGCCTGATTGCATTCCTGGCGCAGTTGTGCCAGACGTCTAGGTACACGCACTGTTAGTGTCCAGGCAGTACCTGGAAAACCCAGCTCCGGCCTTCTCCAGTGGGCCCTCCTGCTTCTTTCAGCCCCTCCCCGCCAGGGGGCTCCTCCCTGGAGTCCCTGCAGTCTGTTCCTGGCAAGACTCTGAGTGCCCATCTTCAATAAAAGTCGACGCATGCCCTCTGGAAAGTCAGAGAGCTCCGTGGGAGCTGGTGCGCTGTGCGTGGGCTTATTGCCAATAAAGCTTTATCAAAACTGCAGACGTGGACACGGGTACCCTGTAACCCCCTGTTCTGTTTCCCTCGCAGGGAACTACTGGAATGCCGCCTCCTTCCCCGACCCATCATCCCACCTCCACTTCTCCACTTTTCAAGGGGAGACCAGTGCCGACATCTCCTTCTACTTCAAGACTCTGATCCCGCGTGGGGTGTTCCTGGAGAACCTGGGGAACACAGACTTCATCAAACTGGAGCTGAAGTGTGAGTATGAGGCACAGGCCCACCCTGGGCAGCCACCCTTGTTACCGCAAGCTGGCGAAGCCCACTCGATCAGATATTGTCCCACAGTGCTGGGGGGGGGTGCAACTCAGTGGACGTGGGTTCCAGCCCTGAGACTCCACAAGGAAACAGACAGCCGACGCTGCACTCGGGAAGGCAAGGTAGACCAGATGCCCTGGAAGTGATGGGCAGGTTGACATGGACAGTTCCTCCAAGTGTGGCATTTTCAGGGCGAGTGTGCAGCTGTGGGTTAGCTGAGGTCAGGAGGAGGGCAGAAAGAGCAGCACAAAGGAAAATGGGTGTCACGCAAATCAGCGCCTGTGTGGGCTAACCAGGTGGCTGGCGTGGATGGAAGCCCTGCATTACTTGGGAGAGCAGCCCCCTCTCGCCAGAGAGGCCCCATCCACATGCTGAGTTAATCTGGCCAAGAGCACAGGCACCGCCAACCCAGGCACATGCCCGTTCCACTCAGCTCAGTGGCTCTGGCCCCCAAGGACCCAACCAAGGCCCATGGTCTCGGGGTCACCATCTGTGGAAGGCAGGGTCCCTGATGCTGACAAGCATGACTCCTGTCAGGCCAGCACCCTTTATCCTCGGGGTCTCAGTTAGTGTTAGGAATTTACAGCCCACAGAATTCCTGGCAAGGTGAACAATCTGGATGAAGTCAGCACCATGGCCGTAGCACAGTCCTCAGGTCACAGAGGGACCTGTCAGCTGTGTTCCAGCACAGAAGTCTTCCTCCTGTGTGCCCTTTCATCTGAGTGGTTATGGAGCTGGGTTTGGGGGCACGGTTGTCCATAGTGCCTGCTGGAGTCCCCGTCTCTGCTGTGTCTAAGCATGCAGTATCATTTCAGGAGGGACTCCCACTTGTGCCCCTTCATCGGAGTGGTTATGGAGCTGGGTTTGGGGCACGGTTGTCCATAGTGCTTGCTGGAGTCCCCGTCTCTGCTGTGTCTAAGTGTGCGGTATCATTTCGGGAGGGACCACCAGTTGTGGCGAATCTGTTCTGACTCGTGGTGACCCCATGTTTGCAGACGAGAACTGTGCCCCATAGGGTTTTCGGTGGGTGGCCTTCAGAAGTTGGTTGAGAGGTCTTTCTTCCAAGGCACCACTGGGTGGACTTGAACCTCCCACCTCTCACCTTGCAGCTGAGCATGTTCATTGTGAGCCACTAAGGCTCCTGTAGCTTCTCAGCTGGGTTTCACAGAAGCCTAGGGGGAAAGGTGGATTTCTGGACGGAGAGTTTCTTCAAAGTAGAAAGAAGCCGAGTTTCCATGAAGGTCCCAGAACAAAGGGGGCAAGGATTGGGCTGCCCCATGTACCCCATGCCATGTCTCCAGCTCAACGCTCCCTCTCCTGGGCCCACAGAACAGAGGGTGCAAAGGGACCACCTGGGCCCCTCCCCGCACTGACAGCCACACTGCAGCCTCATCACCCTCATGGCAATGGTGACCAAGGGGCCAGGAGAGTTGTCACTGAAGCCACATTGTTACATCATCTCTGCCTTCATCCATCCTCAGCGGCTACACCTATAGATCCCCTTCTGAAAGGGATTCAAACTTCGTGTGTGCGTCTCAAAGGAATCATATTGCCTGTGTATCAGCTTCCAGAATGACATTCCCATTAATTAGCTACATCATGCCCTGTGTCAGAACTGGAAGGTTCTTGACTCTAAGTGGCTGTCACTGGACAGTGAGCTAACGAGACACCATCAGCGTTTTGACAGGAAGGTAGAAAACCGTGCTGATAACTGAGGCCAATCCCACTGCCTGTTAATACAAAGGTAACCATTTAAGCTGTGTTGTTGTTGATTGTTGTCAAATCAGCTCTGACCCGTGGCGGCCTTACATATATCAGAAGAAACCAGCTCTCACCCATGGTGGCCTTACGGACAACCGAACAAATCAGCTCTTGATTCACAGCAGCCTTACAGCCCCACTAGAAAGTGATGGGGACAAAGCGCCATCCACCTGTCCTAGAGTTGCTGCTCTTCCAGTGGGGAAACTGAGGCACAGAGACAATGACAAGGAGGGCTTCCCAGGGCTGGAGTGCCTTCCTTGGCTTGTGACCAATGAGCGGGAGTGAAGGAGGAAGAACAGGAGGGAAGGAAATGTGTTTCACAGTGAGGAAGCCACTGGATGAAGGTGTATGGGCTGAACTAAAGGACCCAGGAGGGAATAGGCCCAGAGCCTCTGCAGAGGCCTGTGCATGAGAGTGGGGAGAAGAGGTTGGCTAGAACATCAGGCCAGGGCCAGGGCACTCACTGTGCTGGGCAAAGGGGCTGGATGGCCATGACCCTGAAACTGTGGTGCCCAGACTTGCACTCACCAGAGAGAAGACTGGACGCAAGAGAAGAAGCAAACTTCCCAACGATTATGAAGATAGTGGTGCAAGGGATTGGCAGTGCGGACCACAGGGAACGGTTTCCAATGTGAGAAATGCTGAAGGGACACGTGCCTCAAGTTGTAATAAAACGGTTGTGTGGGACACGTGAGGAAGATCCTAGAACGGATCCCGTGTCTGTGGGTTTGAAGGTTGTGTGGATGGGGTGCCATCAATAGGAAGCATGGCATTTGAGGACAAAATATGGACTACATTGTGAGTATTTTGAGTTTGAGTATCTGTGTCACCTTCCACCCAGGAGCCCAGGTTCAGAGCCAAGGCGTCTGTCTCATGTGCAGCTACCACCCATCCATCAGTAGAGGCACGCGTGTTGCTGCGGTGCTGAATAGGTTTCAGCAGAGCTTCCAGACTAAGACACATGAGGAAGAAAGATCTGGTGATCTACTTCTGAAAATCACAGTGAAACCCAATGGATCACAACAGCCCAATGTGGAACCCGTCGTGGATATGGTGCAGGACTGACCAGCATTTCCTCCTGCTGTGCGTGACGTCTCTGTGAGTCAGTGGACACCATGCAGTTGACAACAACAGGTCCTAACATCTGTGAAGATCTAAAGCCCAAGGGTTGATGGATACTCTTCAGTGCCTTAACTTCCTCTCCACTGACCCAGATTCTCAAAGCCTTGGTGGGGGAGCATCACAGCAGGCTTCAAGAAGAAAGTTTTCACAGAGGCTGTACCATTGTAATAGCCTCAAAGTAGATGGCCAAGACAGCAAGACCATTTCCGGCTCAGGATAGTAAAGGGAAGATAGCAGAGCCGTAAAGGCTTGCACACGTCAGAAAGGGGCAGCCCCATCACAGCAGCGCAGGGAGGCTGGAACGTAGCTCAGGGCCAGCTGCTCCAGGGCAGGGCTGCACTCGGGATGGGGTGGGTGCACTAAGCACTTGTTGAATGGATGAAATGAATGAGTACCAAGTCAGTCTGGTGGAGAACCACAGACCATCTGAAGACAAAGACAAGGTTTCAGGTGGAAGGACTGTCACAGTTGGTGGAATTTCCAAATTCAAGGTCTCGCTGGAAATCAGTTTGGATTGGGAGATGAGGACTAGAAGCCATAGTGTTAGCTCTGTTGTCCACACCACTACTGAGGTGGCCCTAGTGGTGGCCAGGAATGGAGAGAACAGGGGCATGTGAGTCAAAGGTGACAGTCATGATATTCAATGACTGACAGCAACGAAAAGGGGAGAGGTTGTGTCTCAAGAACACACATTGCTGGATGAAGGCTCTGGTGCCATATCCTGGCCAATTGCTACAAGGTGAAGGGGAGACCCTAGGATATGGGCAATGGGGAAACGGGCTGGAGGGCAGGTGGTCGTGTGTCAGGGTCCCCTTTCCTGGACGTGTTTGATGATAAGGGTCAACCGTGAAGTTCTCATTTCTGTTAAACAATCTAAAGATTTTAGAAGGCACAGTGGACAGTTTTTTAAGGATGGTCACAAAGCAGGAAACATCAGGAAAGGCATCCAGGCACAGTCATAATCCTTGGGTGTAAGCTTCCATGTTGACCAAGTGTGAATGTTTTCAAATAACAGGAGGACTCAGGAAAATATTTGCATTTAGCCGAAGCAGCATATCTCAAAAGTGTGGAGGCAGCCAGCTAATGTCCTGGCTAATCTTAGGAAAGGGTATTAAGGAAAAACTTTCATTTTCCAAAATGCAGCCTTCTGTACAGTACATGCCCAGGAAAGCCACGGAAGAAAATGTCATGTGTAGAAACTGATGACTCAGAGGAAAGAGACTCGTGGCAGTTTATCTTCTGCTTCAGAACTGGAACAGCTTCTTACATTCAAAGAGCTTCCCCATGTGTACACACGAGGCCTGGCTCATTCCACTGACTTGGGCTATGGGGCCAGCGGCCATTATTTAGGGAGATAGATAGATAGATAGATAGATAGATAGATAGATATCTCCACTTGAATGCTAACTAGAAGGCTGGTGGTTCAAATCCACCAGCCACTCCTCAGAAGGAAGGTTGGGCAATCTACTTCCGTAGTAATACCACTTGATCACTATGAGTCAGCTCTCACTCAACGGCACATAACAACAACAATATATATGTATGTATTTGGTGAGTTTTTATTGACATAAATCAAATGTTAGCAACTATATTTTTCCTTTAATTATCCACCTCATTGAGGTTACCAACGTGGATATTTAGGAAGGATTTTGGCATTTCTGCTACTTTGGAAGTTTAACTATGTCTTCACTTCGTATTCGAGATTTGGGGTCTGGTGAATGGCTCTACCTTGGCCATGACCATCCATAAGAAAAAGGATTGCCTCCTCACCCCCAAACTATAAAGACTTAGATATTTAATACCAACACAATTGTGGTTTTTTAAAAAATTTCTCCAGGTTTCTGATTTAGACTTTTTAATTAGAATTATGCACAAAAGAAAGTTTGGAAATATCAATTAAAGATGAGATTTTTACTCTATTCAAACTGTTTGATATATTAGCTATTTGCATTTTTAAGTATTAAAAATACATAGATAACTGGGAAGTAACAAAGTCAGATTACATTTATCTAGATGTGTTTGCCAAGTTCACTGAGAGAATAGTTACTTGAATACACAAC